CCGTTGCAGTCTGTCAGTCATATAATGGAAGTGAATAGGAATCATGGCTTTGAGAGTCACAAAAACATACACAAACAAAACCAAATTAAACCCTGCGGGTAAATCTCTCAAATAGACCATTGATACTCTATCTACAATCTCAATTAGGAGTGTCAATAGTCCATTTGAGAGATAGGTGGCGGAATGCACTTATAAGCCTGCAATCTGCCGTAAAGCATGAAGAAGAAGAAGAAGACGCGTCACGCGCCGGCTGAAGAAGAAGAACACGCTCAGGACAGTTCGGACATTGTGGTGAATCAGAGGTAAAAACGATATAAATACTGTTCAGTTTCTTGCACAGACCGATCGTTTGGTGTCTTTACACATTAATGTATCGTCACGAGCCGCAGGGTTTCATTTGGTTTTGTTTGTGCATGTTTTTTTGACTCTCAAAGCCGTGATTCCCATTCACTTCCATTATAAGACTGACAGACTGCAACGGTTTGAGTTAAAAATCTTCATTTGTGTTCTACTGAAGAAACAAAGTCACCTACATCTTGGATGCCCTGGGGGTAAGCAGATAAACATAAAATTTTCATTTTTGGGTGAACTATCCCTTTAACTCATCATGCCGAATGCTCATGGTCAGGTGAAATAAGATACACAAGCTTCTTTCATAACAGACACGTGACACAACTTCAAATAAACAGCTCTTTCAGGGTCAGTGATTAACACTGCTGTTTTTCTGTTTCTATTACTTTTTACCTTTTTATTGAATTAAAAACAAGTTAGTAGCAAAGAAAAAGTTTTATTAGAGTAAAATGTAAAAAAAAAAAAAAGTAATACTTTTATTATAGCATCTATAAAAAAAAAAATAAACAAATGGAGGAATAAACACTCTAAATATCTTCGTTTGTGTTCCACAGAAGAAAGAAAGTCAAACAGTTGTGGAGGACACAAGTAAATTATGACAGAAATGTAAATTTTTCGGGTAAAACTATCCCTTTAATTTTTGGGGAAAACTGAAAAAAGCTAATTTTAAACTATTAATAACATCATAATTTTCTAGAGTTTTGGTGATTATACTTAGATCTTCTTAAATGGGCATGAATTTAAACTCCAATAATTTTTTAAATATTGCAAATTATAAAAAAATTAAAATAAATAAATAACAAAACAGTAGTAGTACTTTTATTATAATGGCTAAAAATAAATAAATAAATACATAAATAAATAAATAAACTGTCTTAAAACTGTTTATTAAATATAATAAAATACTTGTTACAGTAAAAGTGTTCAAAAATTATTGTAAAAATTAAAACAATTATTACAAATTCTTAAGATGTGTACACCCATAAAAATGATGTTATGTAAAATGTTAAGTGGTGTAATCATTAATATATTGTCATTCATTTAAAAATGTTGTTGAAAGATTTTCATACATTCTATTTTTATTTACACTACTGTTCAAATGTATTTTTTTTATAATAAAGAAGAAATGTTTATTTGAGCATCAAATCAGCATATCAGAATGATTTCTGAAAGATCATGTGACACTGAAGACTGGACTAATGATGCCGAAAATTCAGCTATGCATCACAGGAATAAATTATATATATAGAAAACAGTTATTTTGACAATATAACATATCAAACATTCAAAAACCTTTAAAGTTTTAAAGTAATAATTAAAAAAAATAAATAAATAAATAAATAATATATATATATATATATATATATATATATATTATTTTTGTTTTATTATTACATTTCTATATACTGACACAAGGTTACACTCAATTAATAAACAAACAAACAAAGATATTAATGAATGAATGCATGCATGAATGAATGAATACTTACATACATACTAGTGCTGTCAAACAATTAATCACCATTAATCACATCCAATATAAAAGTTTTTATTTACATAATATATCTGTGTGTACGGTGTATATTTATTTTGTATATATAAATTCAGACACATACAGTATATATTTTGAAAATATTTACATGTATATATTGATATCCATATAATTTATATTATATATATATTTAATATAAACGTAACATTTTTCTTAAATATATACATGCATGTGTGTGTATTTATATATACATAATACATATACACAGGACACACACATATACTATGGGAAGAAAAACTTTTATTTTGGATGTGATTAATCGCGATTAATCGTTTGACAGCCCTAAATTACATACCCAAAATTGGTAGCACTTTACAATAAGGCCAAATTTGTTAAAGTTAGGTAATGAGAAATACTAACAATAAGAAATAGCATTTGTTACGGTATTTCAATGTTAGTTCATGTTAGCTGAGATGCATGAACTTTTTGATTTTAATTATCTATTAGTAAATGTTAGAGAAAATGAAATAATATTAACAGATACAACTTTTGATTTTAATTATGTATTAGTAAAAAAATTAACTAAAATTAACCATTAATAAATGCTTTTGAAGAATTTTTCATGTTAACTACTGTATTTAACTAATATTAACAAATGGTTAAAAAAATCGTACTTATGACATGCTGATTAGGAAATGTGTTGCTTACTAATCAGGTTACACATTTCTAAATATGTTTCTAAACCTGATGACCACAGATAGCGGTCTAGAGCTGCTTTGACTGGATTTTTTCTTGGCTTCTCTCATAACAGAGTAGAGGACATGACCTTCGCTGGCAGACTGAAGGGTTTCACAGGAAGCCAACTATGACACCCAAACTGAACTGATACTGCGCGGCTGAGCAGAGAAATACTCAATTATCCAATTAGAAAGAACAAAAATGAAAGTGGGTTCCAAAGTGGACACACACACACTGCTAAATGCGCCACTGCATTGTGCACCCATCTTTACAGACAATTTTCAAACAAATAATTTTTCAAACTCAAGTATTTCGTTTTGAGAAATCTGATTCATTCTTGTCAAACGGTTCATGTAATGCAAAACCCACATTGCACAATGCCCACCTGAGGGTCAAGTTTAAAGACAAGATAATCCATGATAAAACAGACTTTCAAATAAAAAGTGATGCTGTGATGGTCATTAATAAGCTGTTTGATATTCTTTGGTTGTTTTATGGTTAAAATGCAACAGTTCCTTAAAACAATATGGTTTTGATCATGTAAGATCCTTTCAAACCTTGATAGTCGGGTAGATATTGAGCACAGGTTGTGCTGAGATAAAAGAGTGTAACCCTGATGATGAGAGTACAGAGGATAAGTAGGACATAAGGGTTAGATAAGGACACACACACACACACACACGCTGCGACATCAGGACTACAACAACAAATTCAGAGTACAAGACAAGTGGAATTTAACTTTTAACTAATTGACATTTACATGCACATCGTTATCAGATTCAGGTCAATATTCTGATTAAGTTAAAGAATGTGGAATGTTCCTGTGTAAACCATGTGATCAGCATTTTCTAAATAAACTAAGACTTTAAGATTTTCTGCAATTTTCTTGTCATTTTACAACACACTTTAATACTTAAATTAAATCAAATAAATAATGTAACTCAAATTAAATAAATATATGTCTCTCACTTATGAAGCTTGCTTATATTGTCCCACAGAAATTAAAAAAGTTATCCTGCTTGTCATGGAATTAATAGCTCTTTGTATCT